CCTGTGGAGCCTGCGGAAGCAGTGAGTGCCCGGCTGTCCCTGGGGCAAGGGCGGGGCCTGCAGGATACCGACCAACCTTCCTCGCCCCCCAGTCACTGCTAAGCCGGACCCTCCTCTGCTCTCTCAGCAAGTCAGACACCAGATTGCACGAGCTGCACAGGCCGCACTGTGGCCCAGGTGAGAAGAGCCCTGCGGGGTGGGGATGGGCGGGGCCAGCTGTGCAACTCCCACCTGGGCCAGACCTGTTTTTGCCCCTAGTGACCCACCTGGCCCCACCCCCAGTGCTTCGGCCTGCCAGCATGGACCTCCTGCACCCATCCTGGCTGGAGGTCTGCAGGGGTCCCACCAGGCTGCAGGCAGCACCCCGAGCCTTCCCACCCCAGGAGCCACCCTGGACCCTGCCTGCCACCATGCCTTCCATCAGCCCGGAGGCCACCTATTCCAACATGGGGCTGGCAGCCCCTCCCAGGGCCAGCCTGGCAGCCAGGCCTGTGGTGGCTGAGTATGCCTGCATCCAGAAGCCCAAGGGGGCAGATCAGGACCCCCAAGAACTGCAGCTGGGAAAGGCTGAGGTGGCCCCAGACACCCAGGTACGGTGGCCCAGAGTGGGGTAAGGTAGGTGGGGCTGGTAGGTCCTAAGCAAGCTGGTGCTGAGCTCTCCTTCGGTGGCTCCCTCTCCCCAGGTGGACACCCTCTACTCCAGGGTCTGCAAGCCTAAGAGGAGGGACCCAGGACCCACCATGGACCTGCTGGACCCCAAGGACAGGGGCATGACTCTGGCCTTGGGGAGTGAGGAGGCCTGTGAGGCCCTACCGTTCTGGCGCATGGGTGTGAACAGCAGTCCCCTGGAAAACGTGTATGAGAGCATTTGCGAGAAGGGGGTCCCAGAGCCCCCAGCTCTGGCTGTTAGCATGAGTGGACACAGGCAGGGCAGTGAGGCTCCTGGCTGACACCTGCCTCCGCCTTCCCCTTCCTGCCCAGAGCACTGCAGTACCTGTGTTCCTTCCTCCACAGTTAGGCCCCTGAGGTTCCAGCGGCTCTGACAGCCCGTGCCTCCTGCCACGGGGAAGACTCACGTCTAATAAATGGCAATCGCCAGAGCATGAACACCGCCAGCGTCATAGCCTGCCCTTCTTGAAAACTGGGAAGGTTGGGGCAGAGGGCAGGAGTTGCCTATGAGTATTAGCGATGTCCCCTCTGGAGCCTGGGGCTTCACCTGAGGCCACATCCCACTGGCCAGGCCCCCTGGTCAGTGGAGGGAGGGGAAAGGCGAGCACCTGGGGCGGGGCTTTCAGGCTAAGTCTATTCTAGGGGCAGTGCAGCGGGTCGCAGGGTGGCCGTCGAGCCCCTGGTGTTACATAAGGGGTGGGGGGAGGTGGGCGACCATGCGTTAAAGAATAACCTGCTCCCAGGAGGCCCGCCAGAAAAGTGCGGCCCCTTGCCCGGCGCTGGCAGCTTCGCGAGCCGCCGTGGGTAGCTGGCCTCCCGGCGTGGGGCACCGAGGGCGCGTGGGGCGGGGCGGAGACCGCCAGCAGGCGGGGGCGCTGGAGCTGGGCCGCAACT